TCAAGATCTCTTAATGTTCAGAATGGAGGGCGGCAGCAGCCACTGCCAGCCCCACAGACACACCTTTTAATTGCCCGGAGGCGGGTGGGCGGAGGCAGCTGGCGTCCGTCTGTCCGTCCACCGTGGCTGTGCCTCTCAGAGCGAGAACGCAGGGCCGCAGCCTCGGTGTAACCGTAACGTTTAAGAGGCTCCTGCTGGGTGACACCATGGCTCTTGTCCTCGCGATCTGCTTGTCCAACCCCCATCACGAAGGCATCGGTGGCCGCCAGCTGCCTCAATGCCCAGCTTTCCCCCCAAATCCTTGCCGCCGCCTCCAGGCAGCCCTGAGCTCACCATTGCCCCTGGGACTGAAGGGACCTTCCTCCCGCTGGGGCCGCCCCAGCCCGTCAGCCCCTCTCCGTCCATCAGACCAGTGGCTCTCAGCCAGGGGGCATCGCCCGCAGGGACATCTGGCCATATCTGGAGACGTTTCTGGCTGTTACCCCGGGGGCGTGGCACACTGCTGGCACCCAGTGGGTGCTGCCTACATCCTACACGGCACCGAGCAGCCGCACACGGACGTACCTGCTCCAATGCCGGCGGTACCAACACCGAGACACCTGGGAGGCGAAGCCTGAGAGAGAGCAGCGAGGGGGTGGGGGGCGGGCAGACTTCTCCTTCCTGACGGGCACCGCCCGCCCCCCGAGCCCTGGCCCCTGGCTCACTCCTGCTCCTCTGAGCACCCAGCCCAGAGCCAGTTCCTGAACAGACCCGGTCACGCTGCCAACAGAGCATCCGTTTAATTGGGTTAAGTGGCCATTAGCGGCAAAAGCAGGGCGCTGCGTGCGGAAGGGTTTTTAATTTTACTCTTTAAATGATGCTCGCTCCCCAGAGAGGCCGCTGACGGTGGGAACACTGCCCACTGGCGCCCCCAGTACCAGGGCCGCAGCAGCACCCCGTGTCCCGTCCACCGGGGCCTTGTGGGGGTGCGCAGGGAGGGGGAGCTCAGTGTCTTGTCTCCATTGATGGTTCCTGGAGCTGTGAGACCAAGGAAGGAACTGCGGGGGCAGGGACGGGCCCAAGGTCACAGGGTCATCACAGGAGAGACCAGAGCCCCACCTCCCTGTGGACAGCAAATGCCATGTGGCCACTGGTGGCAGCACCGAGGAGGGCAGAGAAGGGGGGAGGGGAGCGGGCGGGGGCAGGAGCCCAGCTGCCTGGCTCTAACGCCTGCTGTGCTGGGAGACCTGGGCCAAGGGCTTAACAGTCTGGGGCCCAGTTTCCTCAGATGTAAAATGGGAATAAGAGGAGTAGCTCTTGGCTGGTAGGGAGGGTGAGGGGCGATCTGGCATGTTCCAGCTCAGCTCAGGCCGGGCACGTGGCAGGCACGCAGACGGAGGCCAGCACTCACGGGGAGGAATTAATTCTGCCATTTCGGGGGAACGTCCCAGGCTCTGAATCTACACAGAACCATCTGCGACGTGAAACATACTGAGGCCCAGCCCCACCCCACGGAGTCTGATGTAGCGGGTTGGGCTGGGGCCTGGGCATCTGGGTTTAAAAGCTCCTCAGAGGCTCCAGCGTGCCAGCCGGGTCCCAAACGCTGCGTGGAGGCCAAGGTACAAAGCCACAGCCACGGGAAGGTCCTGGCCCGGGGCGACGGGCAGAGCTGAGGTGGGACGTGGGCGTGGGAGGAAGGGCAGAGCTTAAGGCCGAGGTCTCCAGTCCTGGGTGCCCAGCCAGGCCTCTCCACCGCCTCTGGCTTGTCTGAGGCTGGAGGTGAAAGCCCCCCCTCGAGAGCAGACTTCTCACCGCCACCGATGTCCCCCAGACCTGCTCTGGCCCTGGACGTCCCCTTCTCCACGAACCAAGCCCACTGGGCCGCACGACCTTGGCCTCGGCCTCCACAGGAGGCTGGAATGCCCCGCACTGGGGTCACTCCTCACCTTATCAAGTCAGTGCCTCTCCCACGGCCTCTCCTCTGTCCCATCCACGCAGCAGAGGTGCCAGGGATGGTGCCAAAGGCGGCACAACCTTCAGGACACTGTTCTCACCGTGGCCTTTAGAAATGATGGCTCCTGGAGCTGTGGGACCAGAAGCACGGGGCAGGGATGGTCTCATGTCCCCATTTTACAGAGGGGAAAACTAAGGCCAGGGCTGGGCCTGGAATGAGAGTTCCACCAGGCGCCCCAGCGCCGGCCAGCGCACAGTAGGCCATCAGTGAACGGAGGAAGGACTACAACCATGAAGCGATGACCTTCCTGAAAGAGGGGCTGGGTGCCAAGGCCCCAGCCGGGAGGAGAGGAGAGTCCTAACGGGTCCAACTCCGTTCCCAATCTGCTATAAGAGGCAGGCATCTCTCTCCCCTCCTGGGACTCAACCGTCAGGCCCGGGCTCAAAGGCCCCATCTCCCGGAGGCAGGGTTCCTAGAGAGGACCCCTCGTGTCTCCGAAGCCGAGGCCCCAGCAGGTCTCCCAGACCCGGGGCTGCCGGCTGCCTGTGCGGCAAAGCCCTGACCGCCGCCTCCCGCCTGACTCGTGGCCCATAAACCACCTGTGCAGCTTGGAGACGCTCGTTACCAACGCTGATTGTCCCTGATTAGCTGAGACAACGACCTCCCGTCCTGCGGGACCCACATTAACATTCCAGACCAGGGCAAGAGGATTGACAACGGACGGACGACTGGATGGGGCCCAGGGAGAGAGGAACAATGAGGGGGGGCTGCGGGGGCCCAGACCCCCAACACCCCTCCCTCCGTGTGCGCTCGGGCCGCAAACCAACGTGGGAAAGGCGAAAAGGGCCAGGCCTTGGTGAAAAGCAAATTTAAACATCATTAAGGCCGAAGCGCATCTTGAACAAGGAAGACCCAGGAGGGAGGAGGGAGGCCCTCCCCTTCCTCTGGGACACGGGCAGCCGCCAGGGGGCGCTGCGGGGGACGTCGCCTGCCGGGAGAGGGCTGGGAAGGGAGGGCTGGGGGCTCCCTGCTCATCTCGGGGAGAATGTGGGCAGTGGAGGGCCTGCCTCAGGGTCCTAGTGACCTGGGTTCAAGCCCTGGCTCTGCCACACCCTGACCCGGTGCACGGCACCTCCGAGTTTCAGGGTCCGCTCTGGGAAGTGGGCGTCCCTCACGGGGTTGCTGTGAGGAGGACCAGTGACTCTCAGCCCACCACTGAGTGTCTTTTCCTATCGCCGCCCCACTGAGAATCACCTGCATTTAGTGCCACTTGCGCAGGCCGCGGGCTGGGCTGCGGAGGGAGAGGAAAGGGTACTGAGCCCTGGCCTGCCTCTCGGGGCCGGGCCTGTGGGTCCGCAGTGGGTGGGGGGCTCCCCCTGGTCCATGATCCAGGTCACACAGGGGCAGGCAGGGGACCCAGCTCCTGGGGGTGGAAGGGGTCCTGGCTCTCGCCTGGGGTGGGATGTGGTGGGGTTCAGGCTGGTGGCAGCCCTGAACTTGGCCCCGCCAGGACCCTGGCCCGAGCCTGGGCACGGCTCGCGTGGGCTGGCTCACCGTGTGTGTTTGTTTAAAGAGCTTTATTGATATGTACTTCACAGACCATACAATTCACCCACAAACAACACAAGTGGTTTTCTAGCATATTCAGAGAGCTGCGACCACGACCACACTGAGGTTAGAACATTTCCATCACCCCAACAAGAAACCTGGGCCCACTAGCAGACACCCCCGTCCCTGCCCTTCCAGCCCCGGGCAACCACTGATGAGCTCTCTGAGTCCACGGATTCCCTGTTCCAGACGTTTCACAGAAAGGGGATCGCACGCCAGGTGGTCTTTCGACACTGGCTTCTCTCACTTAGTTTAATCATACAGTGGTTCTCAACCTTCTGGCCCTTTAAATACAGTTCCTCATGTGGTGACCCAACCATAAAATTATTTTCGTTGCTACTTCATAACTGTCATGTTGCTACTGTGATGAATCGTCATGTAAATATCTGATATGCAGGATGGTCTTAGGCGACCCCTGTGAAAGGGTCGTTCGACCGCCAAAGGGGTCGCGACCCACAGGTTGAGAACCGCTGGTTTAATGCTTCCAAGTTCGTGCCCATTGTCTCGTGTGTCGGTACTACTCCCCTCCCCTTTTTTGTTGTTACTCCTCACCCAAGGATATTTTTCCTATTGATTTTTTTAGAGAGAGTGGAAGGGAGGGAGAGTGAGAGAAACATCGATGTGAGAGAGACACATAGATTGGCTGCTTCCCACATGTGGCTCAGACCAGGTATGTGGGTGCCCTTGACCAGGAATTGAACCCATGACCTTTCAGTGCTCAGGCCAAACGCTCTAACCACTGAGCACACCAGCCAGGGCTGTACTTCCCTCCTCCTTATTGGACTGGTCTCTGACACAGGCCGGGGCGGCTGCAGTTGTGCCTCTGATCTGGGGGCCGCTTGGACGCCTCCCTCATTTACTGTGTGACCTGCAGCTCCAGAAGCCCCTCCCAGCTGCTGCCCTGGGCTCAGCCAGCTCTGGACAGCAGGTTGGGGTGGGGGGGCCCAGCCGGCTCTCACCTCACAGAACGGCTGTGCTCGGAGCCGAGAGGCCCGACCCGACCGCTCTGAGTCTAGAGGGGAGACCGAGGCCCCGTCAAAGCCGTGGGCAAGCAGAGGCCCTGACGCCCGGCGTCACGTGGCCACAGCTTTCTCCTGGGCTTTCACGCTCCCTCCCCGTCAGAGCCAGCAGCCCAGCCCCAGTCACAGGCAGGTCACGATCCTGGCAGGTGCTCGCCCAGGGACACTTACGACACAGCAGAGGGAGGGAGAACCAGGAGGAGGGAGAGGCGGACTCGGCCTGGGCCCCACCATCACACCCACACAGGGCCGCCCAGGCCCCAGGACACCCCGCGTGCAGCCTTCCCCAGATCACACCGCCCCGCGCCTGCCGCAGCTGCCACGCCCCCGCGGCCACAGCCCTGCCCGTGGCGGCCGGCCTGCATTCAGGGAGCCAGGAGGGCCGCAGGTTCTCGGGAGGCGAGGACAGGTCCGCCCGCCCTCCCGACGCTCACGCCTACCTTCAGGGCCTGCACCTTCCTGGCCAGCAGGCCCTCGATGTCGCCGGCCACCTTCTCCACCAGCTTCTGAGGCTCGTTCTCCTGCACCGCGAACAGATTCCGGTTGTCCCTGTAGATCTGGAAGGAAGCAGAGCCGGGTGAGGACAGGTGGTCCCACAGTCCCATGCCCGCCCCGCCCCCGCCCCCGGCTCTGGTCACGGAGACAGAGCGCAGGGGTCTGGGAGGGGGGCCCAGGGCGCTCTTGGACTTGGAGGAAGGACACAGTCACCAGCTCCACAGCTGGCACGGGTTGTGGCTGTCGCCGCCCCCTCTGGAACTCAGGGTTCCCCCCCAGGGGCCATGAGCAGCACCCCCCGCCTAGCTGAGAGCTGCGAGGGGGAAGGATGCGGGGGAGGAGCACATAAGCACACATAGCACACCACACACCAACACAAGATGCCCACATGCTCACGCGTGTACACACACCTGCACACCCCCACAGGCATCGCACACAGCCACCCCTCCGCACGGGCTCAGGCAGCTGTACCCCTTTTTGCTGGAGCTGCCCCAGGGCGTTTGCAGAAATTGTAGCGGGAGCTCTGGGTGCCCCCAGGGGATCCTCTGTCATTCAGGGCACAGAGAGTGGGGGCAGGAACCAGGGAAGAGGCACAGGGTGGAGCGAGTCTGCCCTCCTTCCCCCTTGGGGGGGCGTGCACATGGGCGTGTAACTCTGACAGTCCGCATCTGCGTGAGTGAGCGTGTTATGGCTCAGCACACATCCGCCCGTGCCATGCTGGGTGCTGTGTGCTGGGGTGCGGAGGGGAGAGGGGGGAGGGACAGAGCCCGCGGGCTCGCACAGAGTCGGAGAAGCAGATCCGTGGGCATTTCTGTTCGTGGCTGGAGGCTTGCGGGGGGGGGGGGGGGGGGCAGCATGTGTGTGCACTGGACACCCCTGCAAACACCGGGGCCTGACAGGGTGCAGGTGTCCATCCAGGTGACCCCGGCAGGTCCGAGTCACCGTGACCGAGCTGAGCTCCCGCCACAGGCTGTGCAGAGGAGGGGGTGAGAGATCCAGGGGTGAGGAGGAGGAGGCAGGAGGTGGAGAGGCTGCGATGAGAGACAGGCAGGCAGGAGAGATAAGGTCGGTGGAGTGACAGAGGGAAGGGGAGATAAGGCTCCGGGCATCTGACGGGGGCGGAGGGGGGACTGGGCGCCTCCAGAGCCCCTGCCCGCCCAGCGCCCGGCAGCCCAAGGGTTAACGCTCGCACAAAGCGGCTCGCACTCCCCTCCCCCGCCCTGTCCCTCCCGGCTGCTCTTTTCTCTTTGTCCTTCTCTTAGAACAAAATAATTTGTGGTGAAGTTGCTCCTTCCCACAGAGCAGTGGGGACTTTCGACTTGCGGGGCGGGATAAAGCCAGGAGCTGTGGAGTTCCAGGGGACACCAGGCCAGGCTGCTCGGGGACAGAGGTCCCCCGTGGAGACAGAGGTCAAGGAGGGGTCAGGGCCTGGGAGCCCCTGGGAAATGCAGGGAGCCCAGGCCCCAGAGCCCACGGCTGGGGGAACAGGCTCAGAAACAGGCGAGGGCGGACCAAGGACACGCCTGTGAGCGGTGCGCCAGGCGCCCCCCCCCCCCTCACCCAGGTCTCAGGAACCAAACACACCTTTCCGGACACTGCGCCTGGCTGGGCTGGACCCCCGTCTCAGCCACACAGCCAGCAGGGGGCGCAGCCGCCTGGCTGCTCAGGGCATGGGATGCCGCTCTCCTACCTGATGCCCCTGTCAAGGTCATTCCCAGGTGCCTCTATGGGGCGCCCAGAGCTGCGCAGCCCAGACCTGAGGCCGAGCCTCGTGACCTGCTAGCAACCCGTGGGGGAGCGCAGGACCCTCCCCGCGGGCCCCGGTGTCCCAGCAGCCCGCACAGCGGCTGGGCCGGGCTAGGGAGCCGCCACGAGAGCGAGAGCGGGTCTCCAGGTGCCAGGGTCACACCCCACTGCCCAACAGATGGCATGCGGGCTGGAAAGACGGGGACCTGCCGAGAGGCGCCCCCTCTCTGGGCCTCTGTCCGATCTGCTGAGCGAGAGGACAGCAGCCCGCTCCACAGGCAGCCAGATGCAGGAGCCCGCTCCGTGATCGTGGCTGCTACTGTCAACGGCACCAGGATTCTGCAGGAGGAACCGGCCCCCTTCCCGCTCCACCCTCTCCGGCTAGATCTGCCCTCGGAGGATCCGAAGCCATCGGCTCCACTCCTGGGCTGACAGCCTCGGTCTCCTGGGGTCTCCCCCGCCCCCCGGCCCCCCTCCTTCCTGTCCTCGCCGGGCAGTCCCTCCCCAGCCATCTTGTCCTTGTCTCCGACACCTCAGCCTGAGTCCTGGAGGTGACAACAGGGGAGCCCAGACACAGGGGCGCCACAGCCCCCTCCTGCTCTCTCCCCAGCACCGGGCCTGTGTGCGTGGCCCCTTGGCCAAGGCCTATGCCCAGTTCCAGGTTCCAGAGCAGAGACCCGGGCCTGACGCCTCCACCTGGCCTGCAGCTCAGCTACCCCTGGAGGCTGGGCTGCATCTGCCAGGCTTTCTTCCTGTCCACTCTACCCAAGGCCCCCCCGCCTCCCCGGGGCGCCTCCTACGTGCACCTGCGGCCTCTGGGTCCCCAGCCCCCGCGGTTCCTCCTGCTGCCCCTTGGCTGATGCTGCCTCTGCTCCCTGTCACCTCACCCCCCGCCCTCTGCCCCCATCTAACTCCTCCCAGGGGGCAAGGGTGGGGACGGGAGCTGGGAATTGCTGGGGAGGTGAGGGCACAATCCTAGAACTGCAGGGCCTGGTCCAGCCAAGCCTGCCTCCCAATCCCAAACGCGCCCCTGGGGTGCACCAGACCCCCTTCCTTCTACCCCCGGTGCCTCAAACCTCTCGCTAACACTCTCCTGCCCCTGCCCCATCGCCCTGTCCCCTGAGTGGGCCCTGAGCTGAGACCCTGGAGACACAGTCCGGGAGGGAGGTCATCTCTGCCCTCGTGAGTCCGGGAGGTGCTGTCCGCCCGCGGGCCCAGCAGGAAGCCTGGGAGAGCTCAGCGTGGACTCCATTGAGCCCCAGCCTCATGCCCTGGCCCCAGAGCCAGCTCAGAACAGACAGGCCAGGGTGCACCGGGTGCAGGGCTCAGCAGCCGCAGCGAGATCGCATGCTCGCGGATGTCCTTGGCCGCGAGCTCGCTGGAAAAACTCCACGGCCCAGCAGCGCAGCCTGCACGTCCCCCACCTGCACAGGCCGCTGGACCCAGAGAGATGGTGCAGGCCTACAGGTGGCTGTCGCTCCGCAGCCATGATGGGGAGGGAGGGACAGGGCAGCAGATCAGGGGACAGGCTGTCTGGAACCAGGTGGGCACACGGGGAGGGCAGAGGCAGTGGCACAGGGGCTGAGGCCCGGAGGGAGAATTCAGGCGGCAGCGGGACCTTCCCACTCCCAGGAGTCCCTGCTCCCCCATCCCAGACTGTGAGTCTGCGGCCACCACTCACCTGGGCATCCTCCTCCCCTGAGACCACCCCGCAGCAGCCATTGAGCCCTGTCCCTCCGTCTCTCCCCTCATCTCCTAACCCGACCCATGCTGGCCCAGCCCCCACCCCGTCTCAGCTCCAGTAATTGTGAGGCAGCTTGTCTGGCAGCCTGGGGGTGGCCGGGTCAGGGGCCCAGGCTTCAGGGGCACCAGACCCTCTCCCAGCCACCTGCTTCCGGGCGCCTTTGCATAAAGGGAGGTGAGCCTGGAGGACACCTGGGGGCACGTGCCCTTGGATGGGAACCTGGACGCTCACGGCGGACGGAGCCAGCGCGGTCCCCACGGCCTTCAGCAGTCCTGGCCGGGAGAGGGGCGCCCGGGACACGACTGCCACCCCAAAACAAGGTCCCAGTGACCCGAACGGGCCCCAACCACACGGAGAGGCAAAGCCCCGAAAGCCAGCAGCACCCACCTGCCCAGGCAGAGGAAGGGGGGCGGGGAGGACAGGAAAGGAGGGCGAGGAGGGGAAAGGGGCGGAGGGACCCCGGGGGCCACAGGAACAGCCTGTTCCCCGAGTGGAGGCTCCGGCCACCCTGGGCAGGTGCTTCATACACTGGACGTCACGGATCCGACGACCCCTGAGGAGGACCCTTCAGATCAGGCCCCGTCGGCAGGGACACTGAGGGCCACAGCAGAGCTCAGGCCTGAGCCGGCCGCCCTCAGCCCCTGCTTCAGGCCACGCCCCACAGCTCCGTTCCTAGCACTCAGCCCACACTTGGAGGTGAGGCCGCTGGCAACGGGCGTGCAGTTAGATAAGCTGGCGGTTGGGTGGGTCCGAACGGGGCCTGGGGCAGAGCCAGGACGATGCTGAGGGCCGGCGGGCGGCCGTTCTGGGAGGGGGCGAGGGGAGGCTGGCAGAACCAGCCTGAGAACTAACCAACCGCCCAGCCCTGTGAGTGAAACAGGCACGCAGGCGCGGCTCCCTCCGCAGCCAAGGTGAACGGCCCTAATCTCTGGAAAATTAAATCAGAGAGAAAATGGAACGAGGAAGATTTGATGCAGGCTGGGCCCTGCTGCCGGCTGTCTCCTCAGAGGCCCAGGCTCAGCTGGGGGCTCCAGCACCCCGGACCCTTCCCCCTGCCCAGGGTGCCAGGAGGGTCCAGGAAGGTGGGGGGAGCTGAGGCCCACGCTCTGGCGCCTGTCGATTTCCTGTTTGCCAGCCCCCTCTAGCCACACCCCGCTGTCGGGTCCCTGGTCCCCAAAAAAGCAGCGCTGGGCATCCAACTGCCCAGCCCTTGTGCCAACAGGTCTAGCGAGACAGCAGCGAGTGGACCAGAGATGGGGGCCGGGCCTCCCGAGCCCGGCCTGTGGGCAAGCCCCGGAGGCCGCAGGGCCTGGGGCTGGAGATGGGGGCAGGTGCTGGAATGGGGTACTCTTGTGCCAGGGATTAGGGGCAGCTTGGGTAGAAGATAGGGGGCTCGTGGTGGTTCAGGGACCCTGAGTGGGGCCAGGAAGGAGGTGGGGTGATGGGGGACTGGACACGATCATATCAGGGACCCCAGCCCGTCAGGGCCAAGCCCCTGCCCTCGGCCCTGCCACGCTGCTGCCCGCCTCCTGCCTTTGTGGGGAACATCAGGGTGTTGACGTAGCTGTTATT